TTAGCATAAGCTTGTACAGCTGATACTCTTCAGGAAGTTGGAATGAACATTGTAAAACTGAATAGAAGGCTGGCAAGAGGGTTCAGTGGCCAACCCAAGCCTAATAGCTTAGGTTCAATCTCCTGAATGCACATGATGGTAGAAGGGAATGAAAAACCCATGTATTGTTCTCTCATCTTCATATACACATGCTGTTCATGTATGCACACGGGTTTACACACACACACACACACATACATACACATAGACACACACACAAATAAATGTAAAACTTATTTTAAGGAACTGAGCAGAGTTAGTGGCTACATTGTAGACATACAGTTGACCTGTTTCACAGTGTAAGTTTAAGTCAATTAATTGACTACTATATGGGTAAATCAAGATCAAAACAAAAGATTAAAGTTAATGCAGTATATTGCAGGGAAAATTATTAATCTTCAAAGCAGAAAGGAGTGATTTATATTCAAGAAAAATAATGACTTACAGATGCTGAATAAGTGTATAGATTAGGAAGCTAATCTGTTGAAATAACTATAATAAATAATAGAGAATTAAAAGAATAATCTTTGAATAATTGCAAATATCAAATTCCACAGAAAGAACAAATAGGTAAATTTAGAATTGAAAACAATAGTATCTTACAAGAAAAAAATACTAGATAATCCAAGCCACAGATTTGAGAAGATAGAGGATTTAAAAAAAAAGTATTAAATTTTTAGAATGATAAAAATAGCCAATCCAAATGACACAGAGGAGAAATAACTAAAACAGATCAACAGAAACTCAGACTTATGGGACAGTGTCAAGTGTTTCAACACACATATAAGCTGAGTCTTAGAATGTGTAGAAAAAAGATGTCATAAAACAAATTTGAAAGCACAGATTGAAATCTGGGAGAAATTTGGAGAAAGACAGTAATTTTTATGAGAAGAATTTCAGCTTGCCCCAAATGGTATAAGGCTGCTGAAAGGCAGTGAGACAGAATGGATCAAAGAGCAGAGGAAAAAATCAAACACACAGGGACTTCATGACACAACCAAGGAGAACGTCTCAGAAAAATGGTGACCTCCAAGTGACATCAAAGTAAGACATACCAAGTGCTGTCAGGAAAACTCATCACCCAAGAGTACCTCTGTGGAAAGGTATTCTTCAAAATTAAAGAGAAAGTAGAAATATTTCTAGATAAACATATAGAAATAAAGCATTATAATTAGACTTGTTCTACAGAAAATCCCAACAGGCTGAGTTCTTCAGGCTGACAAGCAAGATGCTAGGACAGTGTCTAGACTAACACACAGGAAGAAATAAAGGGTCTGGACATATATGAGGAAGTTACCCCTAAAGCAAAGTTAGCAAAAAAATTGCAGGCACACCTCCCTGGAAGGTGTCAGTTCTCTGTAACAGTTGCCCTGATTGCTTTGGAAATTACAGACAGAAATGAATGACTTCTAAGAACAGAGAACAGTGTCTCCGCAAAAAGCCGAGATTCTAAAGGCTCTCCTCCTCCCAGCAAGGTGATGGGAAGCAGAGCTGAAATGGTTAGTAGGCCCTGGCCACTGTGGGAACTTATTTGACTTAGTTGTCCACTTGGGACTAGAAATGCCACTAGATGCTGTCAAAGGCAGACATCTCTCACCTTTGGAAGCAAACTTTTCATTCTAAAGCAGATTCTGACAGGTAAAATTTCAAGTACAATGTTTGTTGTATTACCAAACCTAATTAGGCAGATATGTTAACTAGGATGCCCCTATCTCTCATCATGGCTTTTCACAGCTGTAACCAAAACACCTGAGAAAGAAAATAAAGAAACAGAATTTATTTTACCTCCTGGCTTCAGACATGTTGTCTGAACCTCGTATATAACCTGTAAAACATGCTTGGTGTATTTAGCAGTGTAAAAGACAGCTGTGAAGGTGGCTGGATGCAAAGTCCTTGTCACTGTAGAGACAGGAATTTATCACAATGGGTTTGTGTGATAGAGGCTGCTCTGCTCATAGACAATACTGGGACTTGGAGTTAAGATACATGCCCCCACACATTCCTCAGGACCACCCTTTGTACCTATTTCCTCTAGGGTCCACCTCCTAAACTCTATAACTTCTCAACATAGTGCCATCAGCTGGGCCTTCAACATGAACCTGTGGGGACATTTCTTATTCATCACAACTTTAATAGGAACTATCCCAACAAGCTAGCAGTGGAAACAGACCTCTCATTGTAATTGTAATCTCCTAAATAAACTGTAAGGCATCCTTGGTGTATTTAACGATGTAAAAGATAGATCTGAAGGTGGCTGGACACAAAATGAATGCAACAGTCAGTGTTGGAAAAGCTCTGTGATAGAATCTTTAAGGCTGCACTGCTTTATAATTGAAACTAGCAGTTCAGGGAGTTGTTGATAGAGGACTAGATACAAGTCTAATCAAGAATTATAAGCAGAAGAAAGATGAGAAAAATCTTTCACTCTGAATACCGAAGCAAAAAGGTAATATGTGGAGTATAGACGAAGATGTAGAATGAGGCAGTCCACTGTGTGTTTAATTATACTTCTTTGTGAAAGAGAGGAAAAGGAGGCAGCATGGGCCATGTTTGAACAAAGAGTTGCTGAGAATTCTAAGAAATGTTGAAGAACAATCTACAGATTCAAGAGGCACAATGAATTTCAATTCGGTAAGGCCCAAGTAAGATAAATAAAAAGAAATCTGTATCTCCGTGCATCAAAGTAATGCAGCAGAGTGAAAAAGCAAAGGAAAAAAAAATCTTAAAAGCAGGTAAGGAAAAAAAAAAATGACAGATCACCTTCAAAGAAGCAGCAGTAATGGAAATTTGAAGAGAGGGAATGGCATTGTCAGTGTGCACAAAGAAATAACTGTTAACCCCAGGACTTTATAGCAACTGAAAGCCCCCTCAGCAAAGAAGCAGACAGAGCAAGGTGATACGCTGCTAGCTGTTGCCTATTAAGAGAAATTCCACCTGTACCCAGATAGAAGAACGTGACCCGAGAAAGCTTGAGAAAGATTGAGAGAGCGGGTAGTTGGATGGGAATGACAGCACCTGAGTACCCTCTGCATGAAACTGGCTTAGTGGCTCTGGAATTAATGATTGTCAACAGCTAAGACCTGTCACTGTGTGACATTAAATGATCCAATTCTATATGTGACAATAAGACTTCAAAATGGTAAGGTGAAATTGACAGAAGTGAAAGAAAACATCTGTTCATGCTTCTGGATACCTAACGACATGTAATAACCCTTGCACATTTTTATTGATTATATTTTTAACCTTTTCTTTGTCTTATATCAAACAATTGAAATGTTAAGAAAATTCAACTTTCTGGTAGTATTATAAGTGGACAGCATTATTTTTAAGAAAACACTAATTTTAAATGACTTCTGATTTTAATTTGACCTCCTTAAAATTTAAAATACAATCAAAATTCTATTGCCCAAATAACAATTTTCTTTAGCTTTCAGAGATTTTAATTTATTTTTAGTGTGTTTAGTATTATCATCTTTGTAGTTTGGTAATATTTTTGCAAATTTTCTCTAAGATAAAGTGGTCACTACTTGGTTACGATGCTAAACTATACATATAATTTTAAAAATTTTAGCAGGAGATCATTCAGCAATCTATAATTTCCAATTATGAGAGCAATATGTGAGTAAACCTGTCCATTTCTAATAAGCATATACCATGATATATTTAAAATCTAAATATATTTTGTTTAATGCTAAAAAATTTTGTTCTGCATTTCCCTTGTTACTGATGAGAATAAATCTTTAAATGGATTTTTTGCTTGTTTTTTCTTTTTTAAAGTTTTATTTATTATTTATTACAGTTTATTCACTTTGTAACCTGGCTGTAGCCTGCTCCCTCATCCCTTCCCATTTCCACCCTCCCTGTCTCTTCTCCTCCCATGCCCCTCCCCTAGTCCACTGATATGGGAGGACCTCCTCCCCTTCTATCTGACCTTAGCCTATCAGGTCTCATCAGGACTGGCTGCATTGTCTTCCTCTGTGGCCTGGCAAAAGTGATCAAAGAGCCAGCCACTGAGTTCATATCAGAGACAGTCCCTGTTCCCCTTAACTAGGGAACCCACTTGGAGACTGAGCTGCCTATGGGCTATATCTGAGCAGGGGTAATGGTCCTCTCCATGCATGGTCTTTGGTTGGAGCCATTGGTCTCTGCTGGGACCCATGGGCCCAGGGTTTTTGGCTCTGTTGGTCTCCTTGTGGAGCTCCTGTCCCCTCCAGGTCTTTCTATCACTCCCTTCTTCCACTGCACTCTGCCCAAAGTTTGTAAGTGGATATTAGACACATAATATAGGTAAACATACTAAAATCTGTACTCCTGAAGAAACTAAACAAGAAGGAGGACCCTAGGGAAGATGGTCAATCTTCATTCAGAAGGACAAATGGGATAGACATCGGAAGCTGGAGAAGACAGGGAGCAAACAGCAAAGAGGACTACTGAAAAACACTACTGATCAGGGTATCGAAGCAGATGCTGAGACTCGTAGCCAAACTTTAAATGGATTTTTAAACAGTCCAAGATGGTTGTCTATATAATAATGTTTATCAAACATCTAGTCTGCTGTTTAATATTTTATAATCAGAAAAATAAACAAAGTTAGATTTGATGAGGACTGTGAATGAATGCAGTCAATAAGGTTCCAGGTAGAAAATGATGTCACCATTATAGATCTGTGCTTTGGGCGCCCTAATTAAAAAGCCTCCCTTAGTGACTAATATGTAGTTAGTGCATAGACGTGAGGAGCCAAGGTCTTGCTTTTGGGCTAAGACCTTGAGATCCTGACTTCCCATGTGTAAGGTCTTCTCGTTGATGTAGATTCTGAACAAAGTCCCAGTGACCTGAAGCTTTTTCTTACAAAGATGAAGTGTCTTTTCTTTAAACCAGTACGTTTGGAAAAGGTTTGCTGAAATCCAGTTTTATCAGTATGTGGAACAGTCAACAAAACAGCTTGGAAGTTCGTAATTTAGGGCCAGCATGTCAGTGCATCAGCGTATCATTGTGTTGGGAAGATTTTAATTTTTTTGCTGTTGTTGTTGACAGAAACAACTAAATTTTACATGACAGAGATAATTATCCAGCCATCCGAGGGGAGTTTTCCTAACATACCAAGGTACGAATATAAAATTACCTTATTGTATAATTTAAAATGTGCTAAAGGATAGGCACAATGGATTGAGCATCATAACTGTTTGGAAAAGGACTTTTCTTTTTAAAGGCTCTGTGAGTTGCTATCAGATGAACCAAACCACACACATGCACAATTTGAAGACCTATTTTTTGCTTATATGGTGCTATGGACAAACGTGTTGATATAAATATACTTGCAACAGGGTTTCTTTTTCTGATCCTATGTTCCAAATATCTACGATCATCTAACCTAGCCAGCCTTAGGCTTTTGAATATTAGTCCTGGCTTTAATGTTTAAAAATGGAAATGGAGATTAGTTTCATGGGATGCCTACTTATTAAAAATGGTACTTAGCCTTTAGGTATATCAGTGTTTTTTCTCTTACTCTATTTGTTCACAAACAAAAGTTACCTATAGTATGTTGTGCTGGTTGGTTTTTGCCAGCTTGACACAAACTAGAGTCACGTGGGAATCTGTCTCTGTCAGATTAGCCTGTGGGCATGTCTGTGGAACATCTTCTTGACTGATGATTGGTGTGGGATGGCTCAGCTCATGGTGGGTAGTGCCATGCCGGAGGAGGTGGTCATAGTTGGAATAAGGAAGCAGACTGAGCAGGCCATGGGGAACAAGTCAGTAAGCAGCAGTTCTCCATGGCCTGTACCTGACGTGAGTTTCTGCCATGGCTTCCCTTGATGGGTGTGCCGATTAGTTTTATGTCAGTTTGACCCAAGCTATAGACATCAGAAATGACTGAGAAAATGCCTTTATGAGACTGAGCTGTAACAGAGTTCATAGGGCATTTTCTTAATTAGCGATTGATGAAAGAGGGCCTAACCTCTTGTGGGTGATGCCACCCCTGAGCTGGTTGTCCTGGGGTTTATAAGAAATTAGGCTGAGCAAGCTAGAAAGCAGTATCCCTTTATGGCCTTTGCATCAGCTCCTGCCTCCAGGATTTGAGGCCTGTTTGAGTTCCTATCCTGACTTAATTGAAGGCAAACAGTGATGCGGAAGTGTTCACCAAATAAACCCTCTCCTCCCTAAGTTTCTTTGGTTGTGAGGTTTTATCACGACTAACTTGGATAATGATGGACTATAAAGTGGAAGCTAAGTAAGCCCTTTCCTCACCTAAGTTGTTTTCTGTCCTGGTATTTATGACATCAAATCAGAAAGCAAATCAGTGCATGTGTGCTAATTATTGATATTTAAAAGTTATGGCGTCCTTAATATATATCCTTCTGCATGTGCTTCGATGCCATACCTTAGAAGTGTCACTTAAGGCAGTTTAAATGAAAAAGATTGTCTTGATACTATCTTTGGTAGGAAATTTCTCACCTTCTTAGGTATTTGATATACCTAAGTATGAATGTGCTATGGCATGAATGAATGTTGAGTTGTCAGTGGTTTTTAATTCAGCAGATAGGGTGTGTATGAGTGACTTGTCAGTGCTATGACCAAATAACGAATACAAGCAACTTAGGAACAGGTTATTTCGGCTCACGATTCAGGAGTACGTAGCTGGTGGCAGAGAAGTAATGGTGGTGGGACATGGAGGCAGCTGGTGACACTGCACACAGGAAGCGGAAGTTGATAAATGCTGGTGCTCAGCTTGCTTTCTCCGCATTACTCAGTCCAGGACCTTAGCACATGGTCCTGTGTCATCCAAAGAGAAGATGGGCCTTTTCTGTTTTCACTATTCTAACAGAGATAATCCCTCACAGATATGGCTGGAAGTTTGTCTCCCAGGTGATTCTACTTAGCATAGACCAACTCGTTGGTCTATACTAATTATCACAAGCTCATTAATGATAGCAGCCAGGATGAATTTTAAGGGGACTGGAACAAATACAATCTAGTATTCCAAAGCGCACATTAGGAAAGCCTCTAGAGCAATGGATGGTCAGAAAAGCCTGGGACGTGATATACGTGCCTTAAAGCTGCCTGTGAGTCTGGCCTTATTAGAATCGTGAGAGGCACATGGTGATGACGGCTTTCTGTTTCAACAGGTCCCAGTTTGTTCAGAGTGTTGTTGCCCAGTGTCTGGTGGAACTCTCCTCCACAAGAAGCACTTTCAGGTTCACAGTTCAAGGTCAGGATGGCAAAGTGTATATTTTGGTAAGGACTTTCCATCTACTTTTTTATAGCTTCGTAATCCAAGGGCCTCAGAAGTGTTTTAAATTTAATTTTAGTTTCCATCATTCTATTTTCTTATCTCTCCAATCTAGAAACTAGAAGATGACCATAAATGAACTTTTTTTAAAAAAGATTTATATTATTAAGATTTATTTATTTTTAAGATTTATCTGCATGTGCACCTGGATGCCAGAAGAGGGCATCAGATGACTGTGTAGGTGGTTGTGAGCTACCATGTGGTTGCTGGGAATTGGACTCAGAACCTATGGAAGTGGAGGCAATACTCTTAACTGCTGAGCCATCTCTCCAGCCCGCATAAATTGAACTTTTAATATCAGCGAATCCACAAATCAAGCTCATTCCATTTAGTACCACCTGACTGGGTACCCCCTTCATTTTAGGTTCTGGGGGTGCAGTCAGAAAGAAAACCCTGGTTTTGTTCTTCAAAAGCTCATGTCCAAAATGATGCCTTTTGTTCTTGCTAATGACTCTTCTGAACAATGTCCCATCACACTGTGTCGTTCTCTTCTCTCTGGATTTGTTGGTCTTGGCTTTAAGCCTCTGACAGCTTGATATTTAAGGAATAGCAGCAAGTTTGGAGAAGAGGCTGTCGTTGGTGGATCTAAACCCACCCCCACGTGTTGCAGAGGCCAGGATCCTCCCACCAATGTTTAGAGGGATGCTCTGCACAAATAAATTTTGTCTATTTGTTTGGAAACCTCAAACAGCCTGGACCATACTCCTCTCTGCATCTCTTTTCTTCAACTTGTTAACCCATACAGAGTGCTTCTTATCTGAAAAGCACTTTGCTAGGTGCTCAAGGTTGAAGCAGAATGTCTTCAGGAAACTCACAGAGTAATATGAAATGGATAGCATCACCATATTTTGAAATTGGTGTTTGTTTTCTTTGTGTGTCCATGTTTCGAGGCCTTGGGCCCATGAACAGACCTTCATCAACTGTTCTCCACATTTTTTTTTTTTTTTTTTGAGATGATCTCTCACCAAGCCTGAAGCTCAGCCAATTCAACTGAAGTGCCAGTGAGCCCCAGGGCTCACTGTCTACCCACTACTAGTACAGCTCTATACTGCCAGCCCTAGATTTTTACATGGGCTCTGGAGATTGACCCTGGCTCCATATTCTCAAATGTCACTTGAACCATGTTCCTTGCCCTAGTTTTCTTGTGTCAAAAGATTTTTTTTTTTTTTCTGGTTGAAAATCATCTTTTAATCTGTTTACATTGAAATTTTACTTTTTTAAAAACTAGAAAATCTGAACACAGGGGTCTTCCCAGAGACTCATACTCCAACCAAATACCATGCATGGAGATAACCTAGAACCCCTGCACAGGTGTAGCCCATGGCAGTTCAGTGTCCAAGTGGGTTACATAGTAATGGGAAGAGGGACTGCCTCTGACATAATCTGATTGGCCTGCTCTTTGATCACCTCCCCCTGAGGGGGGAGCAGCCTTACCAGGCCACAGAAGATGACAATGCAGCCACTCCTGATGTGATCTGATAGACTAAGATCAGAAGGAAGGAGAGGAGGACCTCCCCTATCAGTGGACTTGGGGAGGGGCATGCGTGAAGAAGGGGGAGGGAGGGTGGGCCTGGGAGGGGAGGAGGGAGGGGCTTATGGGGAGATACAAAGTGAATAAACTGTAATTTATAAAAAAAAAATTTGCTAGGATACATTTTTGAATTATATTCAGAAAAATCTGAAGAACATAAAGAGCTATTTTCCCGATCCTGGTCCGCTCCTTAAGCTCAGTTATGTCATGCTTTCCAGAGCCAATCATTATAACAGTTTGATATGTATGTACATAAAACATGTGTTTTCTATCTGTATACAGCGATTTCTAAGAATTCTCACAGGTATTTGAATTTTTAATGAAAAACAAAACAAATCAAAGCAGTGGTACAAGATTAGCTATTCAATAAGAGCTCCATGTAGCAATGAGTATTGTTTCTTGTTGGTTCAAATGTAGGTTGGATTCTATTCTTTAATAACTAGAATTCTGCTGTATAGCTACTAAGGACAATGCTACAAGAAAATCATCATTGCACATGCATTTGTTACTTCTTTAGAAGAGGACTTTCTAACTTAATTCAGAATTAGAATATGTATATTTTTTAACTCAGATAACTATCACCGTACATAAAAGGTGAATGAATTTATCTCTTCTAGTGGACATTGCTGTGGCCCACAGGTCCTCTTGACCAGTGCACCCATTCACAGCTGCTGACAGTTGGGTGCTCGTGTCTCACAGTCGCCCCTTCTGCAGAGACTTGTCCCTGCACAGCAGGCTTTGCCTTGCCCCGGAAGCCCCATTGCAGCTAGTGCTTTGCTCCATCTATTGGGTGTACTGGAAGCACATAAATTTACCTTCCATCCTGTTAGCCACATAGACATTTTCATTGTTCATCTCATGCTGCGTTCTCTTTCTATTCTTTGCCTCTCATTGCTCACATTGTTTGACCCCTCACTGATGTCTGGGAGCTCCAAATACTTCAGACTCATTCTAGCATTGCCATTTATATACTAGATGTTTTTTTTTTTCCCCTAATCACTTTAAAAAAAAACTATATGGTTGCTCTCCCAAATGCTGCATAAAATAAAAATAAAATTTAAGGGCCTAGCTTACTTTTATATTATGTATGTAATTATGGGTTTTTTTTTTTTTTTTTTTTTTGTTGTTCTATTCTGTGGCTTTGTGTAGTGGTGATATACTATATAGACAGAGTAGCAATATTCTCCATTGTGAACTTCTCTTCTCATACTTTAGCTCTGGATTTTAAACTCAGACAGTTTGGTGATTGAACCCCTGAGAAGATCTGGGTGTGTGAGGAAGTTCCCACTGTTGGAAGATACATCGGAAGCTGACTCCAGCTCTGCCTGTAATGCCATAAAAGTCCTCTACCAGCCCTGCATCAAAAGCAGGAATGAAGAGTAAGTTGTGCTTTTGTTTTTTTCTGCTCCATATTGCATCTCAGCTGTGGTCACCATGCGGGCACAAAGAAATCAGTGAGGTAAATCCTTCTTGAAGCTGCTAGGAGTCACGCTGCTAAATATTATGCCTTGTAAGTAGATCAAGTTATTACAGAAAATGCCTACCAATATGCAGAGAACTTGCTTTTCCTGAAAATAATTAGCCTTTTTATTATAATCTCAGCTGTCTGTGCATATGGCTATGGTGCTAAGTCAGGCTTCAACAACTGTTGGAACTGCCTAAAGTTCTTTGCAGGCTTTTAGGATACAGTTGTGAGTGAACAATCCTTGCCTTCGAGTTTGCCTTTGTAACATGTGGAAGCAGACTAGAAACAAAACAAAAACATTAAAAGAGTTCTATGACTTCAGTGTGGTCACTGTACATCTGAGCCTACCAGCTCACTTATGGCTAAGTTTTGTCCCCAGTTTTATTTATTTGTTTATTTGTTTATTACAATCTATTCACTTTGTTGACCTCGTTTTAAAGATTGAGTTCTAGGAAGTTGTAGATAGAGAAAGGTGGAAGCAAATGAGATAAATGGTACCTTGGAGGTTGCAGTTCTTAAAGCTAGGAGGTTCTTTAGTTAGGGTGGTGGTAAAGGAACACTTGGAGTAAGTGGAGCAGTAGGGTATCTCTGATGAATAATAAACAGTCTGCAAATCAGGAGAAGTCAGGAGACATCAAGTATTCTAGTTGGACAATTGGAAGTTTATATTTGTTCTCTGTTCTCTGCTGAGTTTGATCAAATGTGTGGTAGGAACAGAAAGATCCCAGCTTTTTTTTTTTTTTTTTTGGGTAGTCAATAAGACAGTTTTAAAAAATGAGTGTTATTTTTCTAAATTATGCAAGCAGCACAAATCATAAAAGATTTCAGTAAACTGAAAAGTTGAATACATATAAACTATGAAAGCCATGTTCCTCTCCATGAGTAAAAGGTGTGTTGTGTATTCGATCTCCGTTTGAATTCATTTTGCAAGGACCTAATTTGAATGATATGGATAACATGAATAAAACCCTTTCATGGGGGGGGGGTCTTCCATGTTAGTGCATGACATTGTATGAAATACATAAACGGTACATAAATGATGGAACCATTATTTTCATCATAAGATATTTGCTTTTTGCTGTTATAATTACTAGAACTCTATACTGTTACAGGGTTGTTTTCTGATTATGTGGACTTTGCTTTAATAAGAAGGGATTAAAGAGACACAATTGCTGACTCAAGATGTATGCACTTTAACACTTTCTGATGGATAGTTTCAAATTGTTTTGTTTTGTAGAATGGCACTGCAAACTTACATTCTGACCTGGAGTTTTCTGCTTTGCCCATTTCCCTAGCTTTATCAGGACTGCCATTTAGATCTTTGCCCACGTGATGCCATCTAACCAATAAGGGTTCAGTTACTTGTCCTTACATATTATTTAGGCTGTTCAAGAATGTTCTTTTTTTTTTTTTTTTTTTAATGCCTCAAGACTTTGGTGAACTTTTGAGCTGCTCATGTTTTGTTTGGTTTTCTGTTGATGTGTGCATGTGCCATTATACACTTACATTTATGCAGTCATTTATTAAAATCCCTTTATTTGTATTTTTTACTTATTTTAAACATAGACTTGAGAAAGATGTTTTAAATCTCATGAAATACAATTGTGGAAGTCACTTTTTGTTGGTCTAATATTGTTTTTACATTTTACGATTTGAAAGTATATCACTAAGTGTGTGTTTGTGGGGTGGCCATTTATTTACCTGGTTGCATACTTCATCAACAGGAGAGTTGCTGGGTTTTTTTTTTTTTTTCCATTGATGATAGTTTTGTTTCTAGTTGCTTTCATGTCGCTACTGCTGTGTTTACTTTAAAAACTTATCAACCTATTATTGTTTGATGACATGTCTTTATTTTCACCTGTCCTCTGTCATTTTATCTTAGTGTGTATTTCATTCATTTATACTTTGTGGGTGGCGTGTGGCTGCGTGTTTCAAAGCTTCAATAAGTGCATGCATCTCTGTTTCTAGTTTATGTTTCTGTTTTCACTGTGCATGAGTATGTGAATGACTGTGGGCTCATTTGCTGCTGTGTCCTGGAGGTCAGAGGGCAGCACTTTGGGAAGTACTTTTTCTCTTTTTTTTTGAGGCAAACTCTCTCTTATTTATGTTGCTGTGCTGGGGAGTTACTGGGTGATTCTCTTGTCTCTAACTCCCATCTCACCAGAGTGCTGGGATTACAGATATGTGCACTGCATCCATTTGTTTTCACACGAGTTCTGGGACCAAACTCAGGTCCTCAGGTTTGGCAGGCAAGCACTTTACCACCGAGCTATATTCTCAGCCCAGCTCTCCCTGTTTCATTGGTGGATTTAACTATACTTTTTGTTGTGGTTATTCACATATTTGGTTATAATACACTACCTTTTAGTTAGTTGCTTTCTGTGTCATCACTGTCTTCTGATTATTTGAAAGTAAAAAGTACCGATCTCAAGATGGTTTTCATGGTTACCTTTAAATTTTTAATGTGCATATTTAAGCTAATTTCCTTTTACTGCCACTGTCTTGACTTAACTAAGATTCATGTTCTTAAGTGAAACAGGGATCCTCATGGCTCTCCTTGTTTCCTTCTCGCTATTCCCTTGGCTGTGTTGGAACTGCCATAAATCTGATGATAATGACCACATTTCTTTACCTGTCCAGCCAAAGTCTTCCCCCTTAGCTTGCCTCCTACTCTTATGCATTAGATCCATTAATATGTGTGTGTATTTCTACAGAAATTAGAATGTTTTGCCATGTTTTATGTAAATATTATTATACTCTATATTTTTGCAACTTGTTTTTTGTTTACTATTCCATGCTTTTTACTTAATAAGGTGTATCCTTTTGCTTGCTTTTTTCTTAATTTTTAATTTTTTTATTTACGTGTTTGCATGTAGGCGTACATATGTGTGTCCCTGTGCCCAAGGAGGGCAGAAGAGGGGGTTAGGTTCACTGGAAGTGGGGCTAAAGGTGGTTATGAGCAGGCCTGTGCATGTTGGAAACAGAATCTAGGTCTGCAGCAAGAACAGCTGGTGGGGTTACTAACCACTGAGCCATCCCTCCAGCCCCTGGTGTTCTGTTTTTGTTTTTTGAGACAGGATACAGGCTGACACCAAGGCTAGCCTGGAACTCACAGTGTAGTCCAGATTGTCCTTCAGCTCTTGATGATCCCCCTGCCTGAGCCTCTGAGAGTATTAGGAATGTAGGTATTCCTATAAGTCAAACGGCTTGATAAATTATACTTTCTAGTCATTCTTCCAGATTTGTACTTTAGTCAGTTCTTTAATACCCGAAACTATCGTGCACCTATTCTGTCTCTGAAAAAAAAATTTTGAATATCTTTTACAAAATTATGTGTGTGTTTGTTGTGTTTGTGTGTGTGTATCACATGTGTGTGTACATGTTTGTATATGTGCACGTGTGTGTGTGTGTGTACATGCATGTGAGTGGAGATAAGAGGACAACCTATGGAAATCAGTTCTCTCCATCCATGTGTCCTGGATTGAACTCTAGTCCTCAAGCTTAGCAGCAAGTCTCCTTACTCACTTGGAAATCTCACCAACCCTGAAAATTCATTAGGATATTCTCTTTGGTTGTCTAAGGTTTCATACCATTGTATGAGAATGGGAACTTGTACACAAAATTTTGTCATGCTGTACCTCATCTTACGGATATGATAACCTCTTAATCTCTGAGACTGATGATTATCCTTAAACCTTCTTGCTTTCTCTATTTAATTTTGCTTTTCATGTTAGCTCTGTGTGTGCGCTTCTTTTTCATAACTTTTCATAACCTCCCAAATGTTCAAGAGTTAGGTTAAAATCCTGTGCTAGGACAGGTCCTGGGTAGCGAGGCCTGCCTCTGTCCTGTCACCTTTGTTTGGGAGAGAGCTCAAAGCATGTCTTGATAGAGTGACACGGGGTCTCCCTGTATTTAGTGATTACAGTTCTTCCACTGGTGACTGTAGGTTCTTCATACCATAGCCTGCCTTTGTGGGCTAGAGAAAGAAAAGGAAGAAGGTCAGGCCAGTAAAGATGCAAGAGGCACCCGTTAGCTTATTTGTGGTGTTTGTTTTTGTTTGCTTTGTTTTACTTGGACAGGGTCTCCTAAAGCTAATGCTGACTTGGAACTCGCATGCTTGCCTTTACCTCCTGAGTGCTGAGGTATAGAATGCACCAATATGCATAGTATTACTTTACAGTATTACATGCATCATCGCATGCACCACCACACCCAACTCAGTTTTCCTTTCATAGCTTTTGAATATTAAACTCATTTAGATATATTGATAAATTGCATGTACATTATACGAAGGATCTTTAACTCTTTCTGGTGGAATATTACAAGAATTTAGTAATTCTTGTAATATGTTATTTATGTTATTTTACTCATTCTTTGTTTTGACTGTATGTATGTATGTATGTATGTATGTATGTATGTATGTATGTATGTATGTGAGAGTGTGCCAGGGCACACGTATAGAAGTCAGAGGATAATCTTGGGTTCTATTCTCACAACAGTACCCCTTATTTTGAGGCAGGATCTCTGGTTATTTTGCCACTGCATATACCATGCTAGCTGGCCAGTAAGCTTCTGGGACTCTCTCTACCCCTTCTCTCATCTCCCAGTTGGAGCATTGAGATCACAGGTGCACGCTACCATGTCCAGTGTTTTCTGGATTTGGGGATCAGAACTCAAGTCTGCTTACTGAGCAGCAGGACTTTACTGACAAAGCCACTCTGAAGTCCAACTTCACTCATTCTTAACAAATGTTTGCAGCATGGAAATTCACTGACTATACTCAGTTGTGTTTTGTTGTGTTTGATTAGAAAAGAAAATAAAAACTGCTTTTAGATATTTGGATGAGAGTTCATGTCTAATAAACAACTTTGATTTAGTACTTCTCTGTTATATAAAATGATTTTTACTGTGCCCTTCT